CTGTCCTCCCATCAGAAAAGAGCAGGCCTCTCAGGGATGTCAACCCAATGATGGATTCTGTTTCCTTATCCATTCTATTAGCCTATTTCTTTATATGGGGGAGTTGATTCCATCGATATTGAGACACGTTAATGACTATTGACCGATTATTTCTGTTATTTTGTTGTTGGTGTTGGTGGTGTTGGTAGTAGTGGTGATGGGGGTGGTGGTAGTGGTGGTGGTGGTGACGATGGTGGTATTCTGAGTGTGTGTGTGTGTGTATGTATGTATGTATGTATGTTGGTGTGTTAGTATGTTTGTGTGTTTCCCTTTTTTGAGTTTTGGTAGTGTCTGATTTATTGCATATATTTTCATAGGTGTAGTTAACCTCCCTTGATTGGAGTTTTCCTTTTAGTAACTTCTGTAGGGTAGGATTTTTGTATTCAAACATTTAAAATTTGATTTTGTGATAATGTTATTTTTTTCATCTACAGTGATTGGAATTTTTTTCTGAATAGAGTAGTTTGGGCTGGCATCTGTGGTCTCTGAGTGGCTGCAGGATATCTGTCCAGGACATTGGACCTTTAGAAGCTTCATTGAGAAGTAGGGTGTAATTTTAATAGGTCTGCCTTTATATTTTTTTTTTTGGCCTTTTACCCTTACAGCTTTTAATAGGCTTTATTTATTCTATATGTTTAGGGTTTTAATTATTCTATTGTGAGGAAAATTTCTTTATTGATCCAATCTATTTGGTGTTTTACAAGATTACCTTTATAGACACATCCTTCTTTACGTTAGAAAAGTTTTCTTCTGTGGTTTTGTAAAATATATTTTGTGTTTTCAGCTGGGATTCTTCTCCTTCTATTCCTAATGTTCTTATATTTAGTCTTTTAATAGTGTACCAGTTTTTATGAATGTTTTATGTTGGATATGTTTTAGATAGAACATTTTCTTTTATCAATGACACTATTTCTTCTGTTGCATCTGCAATGCCTGAGATTCTTCCTTTCATCTCTTGTCTTCTGTTAGTGATACTGTGACTATAGTTCCTATTTGCTCACCTAGATATTCAAGTTTTGTATTGGTTATTTTATTTGTATTGGTTATTTTATTTATTTACATGTCAAATGTTATCCCTTTGTCTGGTTTCCCAAAACCCCCATCTCATCCCCTTCTCCCTGCTTCTATGAGGTGCTCCCCCACTCTTTCCTGCCTCTACGCCCTAGCATTATCCTACACAGGGGCATCAAACCTTCACAGAACCAAGGGACTTTCTTCCCATTGATGCCAGAAAAGGCCATCCTTTTCTACATATGCGGCTCAAGCCATGGGTCCCTCCATGTGTACTCTTTGGTTGGTAGTTTAGCCCCTGGGAGCTCTGGGGAGTCAGGTTGGTTGATATTGTTGTTCTTCCTATGGGGCTGGAAACACCTTCAGCTCCTTCAGTCCTTCCCCTAATTCCTAAATTGGGGTCTCCTGTGCTCAGTCTGTTGGTTGGGTGTAAGCATCTGCCTCTATATTTGCCAGGCTATGGCAGAGCTTCTCTGAGACAGCTATATCAGGATCCTATCAGTAAGCACTTCTTGGTATCAGCAATAGTGTCTGGGTTTGGCGTCTGCATACAGGATGGAATCCCAGGTGGGGCAATCTCAGGATGGCCTTTCCTTGAGTCTCTGCTCCACTTTTTGTCCCTGTATTTCCTTTAGACAGGAACAATTCTGGGTTAAAATTTTGGAGATGTGTGGGTGGCCTCATCCCTCAACCAGGGGCCATGTTTAACTTTTGGATATGGTATCTAAAGGTTCTCTCTCCCCTTTGTAGGGTATTTCAGCTCAGTCATCCCTGCTGTGTCCTGGAAGCCTCTTGCTTTCTTGACATCTGTGACTTTCTGGTGGCAACACCGTAGTTCCCCATACCCCGTTGCTGCATACCTCTGTTCAATTTCCTGACCCACTGCACATTTTTGCATCTCGTCCCATAATTAATCCTGCCCCCTTACCACCTCCCAGTAGATTTTCAATTTTGAGAATTCCATCGTTTGTATTGCCTTTATTTCTGTCCATTTTCATGTATTAAACCGTTTCCTTTTCCCTGTTTGTTTGATTTTTCATGCTTTCTTTCCATTCTTTAATGGATTTATTGATTTCTTCCAAATTTGTACTTGTCTTTTCTTAGATTTATTTAGATATTTTTCATCTTCTCTTTGAGGACTTTTTTCATCTGCATAAAGTTGGATTTAAGGCCATTTTCTTGTGCTTTAGCTGTGCTGGAATATCCATGTCTTGGTGTCCTAGAGTAGCAGGGCTCTGGTGGTGACGTATTGCCCTCACTGTTGTTGACTGTGCACTTACCCTGGCATTTAAGCATCTGGATTTGAGATGATTATAGGACTAGCTATAGATTTCTGAGATTTTCTTTTTTGGATGGTTATGGTGTTTCTTCATTTCTGTTTTCTTTTGTCTTCTGGTCTTTGTGGCCTGGGTCTGTCTCTCTCTCTCTCTCTCTCTCTCTCTCTCTCTCTCTCTCTCTCTCTGTGTGTGTGTGTGTGTGTGTGTGTGTGTGTCTTGCATGCCCTCTGATCCATTTGTGAGTCTCTGTCCAACTTCGGGGATGGATGTCTGGTAGTTTGTTTAATCTTTGGAGCATCAGTTTTTCTGTTTCCCAGTTGGTGATTGGGACACTGTGATAAGAAAAGGAGAGGGATTTGTGGGCACTGAGTATAGGAAGGTCAGTGGTGGACTACCTGTCTGTAGCTCTGGAGTCAGATCTGGCGTCTGGTCCAGAGGGAGTCTATGCCTGAGATTACTTATCTGTTTTTTTCTGACGAGTTTGTCTTTAAGATCCTCTTTAAACTGCTGTGCCCTGCACCTGTTTTTCTGACTGATGTGGCCTACTCCTCAGCAGAAGTCTGCCTCTTCCTTAGGCTCTGAGGCATAGCAGCAGGAGGTGCTGTGTGTGACAGTGGTGGTGTGTGGCTGGGAATTGTGTAATGAATCTTTGAGAACTAAATCTGGGGAGTGGGGCACTATGAATTGTTTTTAAGTAAATGTTCAAGACCAATGACATACACTTGTTAAAAAGTTGCAGAAGACATGCCTGATTCCCATAAATATGATAGAAAATCTACAGGATTTAATTCTTCGTGGTCAACCTACTAAATCATAGGTTAACTGATCCAGGGATCTCTGTGTGTGAAGGTATATGTAAATATGCATCAGCAAAAAGACAGTTATTTATTTACTTTATGTTTTAGTAAAGAAAAAAGGAAATAGAAAAAAATATGACCTACACTGGAATTTTGAAGATACTTATTTCAAAACTTTTGAAAGTTAGAAAATTGTATAAGAAAACTAAATTTCACTCTGTTTGGGGAAAGCTATGTGAATTTTTAGGTACATTTGATACATCTACTGTGCAATGTTGAGACTTGTTTAATATCCACCTTTCACACGTACTTACATGAAAACTTCCTTGAAAGTTAAAGAAAAAGAAAGAATATTAGATTTTTTCTTGAAAAATACCTCTTACCTAGTAAAATATAGGTGAGTAGCCAATGGGAAGTTAGTGAGAGGAAAGGATAAGAGGCTGTGAGGAAAAGCTCTCCTTGTTCCCTCTCCATAGCAGGTGCAGGTTATGACTGAATGCTAAACTTTCTGTATTTACAGATGACAAGCTAAAAAAGCAAGAAAATGAAAATGATCTTTTATCAGCATGTCTGTGGAAACATGAACAGTCTAAATATCGAGTGGAAAAAGTCTCAAAGCTAAGACAGTAACTGTTTTCTCTCAGTGTTCCTAGAATTCTTTCTGCAGTACACTACTATTGTGATCTCAGTCTTTAGCCTTAGGCTGATTTATTTATTCTTATGATCTCAAACATGATTAGAGTTTAAAGTGAAAGATGAGTCTGGTCTAAGAATTTATGCTTTGGTTTCAGGGAAGCAGACAAAAACTTCAATTCAGGTGGGATTTTAGATTTTATATACTTTATATTAGAGAGACATGTGAAGAACTAAATAAGCCAGTAGAAAACAAAGGAAAAGAAGAAGAGGAAGGAAAGATGAAAGTAAAATGAGAAAGAGAGAGATGGGGTGGAAGGGAAGAAAGAATGAGAGCTTAAAAGAAAAGATAAAGAAGGGAGAAATAGAAGGAAAAAAGTAGAGGGAAAGAAACAACAGAATAAACAGGGCAATTGCTGTTTGTACCTCCACCCTATCACACAGAGACTCCTAACTTTAATTTGTAACCTTTGGGCACACTTGTGGAAGAATTGGTTTGGTTTGGTTTGGTTTTCACAGAGTTCACCATAAATGTGTTTAGAAAGACTCAGAAATAAAATTTCTTAGTCCAGTTTTGACTACTAAAACAGAATGCTGCAGATTGGCAAGTAAATAATGAAGAAATAATAATTGTCTCATAGTTCTATAGACAGGGTATTCAAAACCCATGGGCAAGCAAGCTTAAGTATATTCCTGTTGTCATCATTGTTCTTGTTACTGGTGGTGGTACTATTGCTGTCTATCCTAGAGGTTAAACTTGTTCTTTTTGAAGGAATTTATTCTCACTGACAATGGAATAAACTTATTAATGAGCACGTTAATCTCCAAGACCAAATGACTTCTCATGGGACTCATTGCTCAACATCTGTACTTTGTAATAGGTTTCAAACAATAGAATAGTTTTTGGATTTTGGTTACTGGTTTTTGGTATGAGTAATATTCAAGAGAAAATTGTTTGGCTTAGTCTCTCTCTCTCTCTCTCTCTCTCTCTCTCTCTCTCTCTCTCTCTCTCTCTCTGTGTGTGTGTGTCTGTGTGTGTGTGTCTGTGTGTGTGTGTGTGCATGTGTGTATGTGTGTGCATGTATATGGATCTTTATTTTATATTTTTATTGTATATAGATCTGGCAAAACATCCAGGGAGTAGTAATCTGGGGTTTACTTTATGGGAGTAGACACATGTACACAGACACAGTTACATATAATCTAAGTATTTACTTAGGTTTGTTTTGTTTTATATTTCTAGAACTTCAACCTACTGGCTCACTCGCATCCAGTCTTTTCTCTACTGCAATGAGAATGGCCTTCTGGGCAGCTTCTCCGAGGAGACTCACTCTTGCACATGCCCCAACGACCAGGTAGTATGTACAGCCTTTCTGCCCTGTACTGTGGGCGATGCCTCTGCCTGCCTGACCTGTGCACCTGACAACCGCACCCGCTGTGGCACCTGCAACACGGGCTATATGCTGAGCCAGGGACTCTGCAAGCCTGAAGTCGCTGAGTCAACCGATCATTACATTGGCTTTGAGACCGACCTGCAAGACCTGGAGATGAAATACCTATTGCAGAAAACAGACAGACGAATAGAAGTTCATGCCATCTTTATCAGCAATGACATGCGCCTCAACAGCTGGTTCGATCCTTCCTGGAGAAAGCGAATGCTCTTGACCTTGAAGAGTAACAAGTACAAGTCTAGTCTGGTCCACATGATCTTGGGTCTCTCTTTGCAAATTTGTTTAACTAAAAACAGCACGTTGGAGCCCGTGCTGGCTGTTTATGTCAATCCCTTTGGAGGCAGCCACTCTGAGAGCTGGTTTATGCCTGTGAGTGAGAGTAGCTTTCCAGACTGGGAACGGACTAAGCTGGACCTCCCTCTGCAGTGCTATAACTGGACACTGACTCTGGGAAACAAATGGAAGACATTTTTTGAGACAGTACACATCTACCTGAGGAGTCGCATCAAGGCAAATGGCCCCAACAGCAACGAGAGCATTTACTATGAGCCTTTGGAGTTTATCGACCCATCCCGGAACCTGGGCTACATGAAAATCAACAATATCCAAGTGTTTGGCTACAGCATGCACTTTGACCCTGAAGCCATCCGGGACCTGATTTTGCAGCTGGACTACCCCTACACTCAGGGATCCCAGGACTCAGCACTTTTGCAGTTACTAGAGATAAGAGACCGTGTAAATAAACTCTCCCCACCTGGTCAGCGCCGTCTGGATCTGTTTTCTTGCTTGCTTCGTCATAGACTCAAGCTGTCTACTAGTGAGGTGGTGAGAATTCAGTCTGCTCTTCAAGCATTTAATGCCAAGTTGCCAAACACAGTGGATTATGACACAACCAAATTATGTAGTTAACCATAAATGTCAAGCACAACCCAAAATCTTGAAGGAGTTTTTACAGTGCTTTTGTGGAAGTTTATGTTTGGAAAAGTAAATTTAAATTGTCTTTTCAATATCTGTCTTATATCAGTCAATATCGTTGGATGGCAATTTACACACATGAACTTGCTGACAATGAATATATTATACTACAGTTTTGGTTTATGAATGAAATAAATACTGACACCAGTCTAGAAGACATTCTACTTTTTACAATAAATTTCATTTGTAATTTTATATGTTCCGTGGCAATGCTTTTGTGCATTACATCCTCTAGAGGGAACATAAAAAGATACCAATAAAATTTTGTAGCTGAACAGTTATTAACAAGAAGTGCTGTGGGATTCATTTTTTCCATGAAATGAGTTCTATTTGATATAGTTTGTAGGAACCTGGGGAAAATTCACCAGGACTTTTTAATGGAAACAGTTAATGGTTCCTTCTGATCACCTTTTCTCAAAACCCAAATAGGTGAACTTCTTGTATCGAGTTCCTTTCTTTCGGTGAAGAACACAATAGCTGAAGGATGTTTATCAGCTTCATACAGAAAGTAAAGCGAAAACTAGTCATCATTATGATTGTCATAAAAATTAATTCCTAAATAGATATCAACACATTTCAAAAAACATGCATCAAAATGAAATGATTATAAGCCAAAGTACAAAGGATATAAACCAGTAGCATCCTTTATAACCCTGTTTTTCACTAATTCCAATTCTAATAACCAGTAATTGATATTTTGCATAACTTTGAATAATGAAAACACTAGTGATTTCAGTATCTTACAAATGTCCATAAGATAACGCTTCTGGAATTCACAAGTTTTAATATAAGGATATTAAAATAAATGCTCATGTAAATACCTGACATGCAAATAATTGTTACCTTTGTAAGACTCACATTACTAAAACACACTTGATGTAGAGACCTCTCAAAACTAGCTTAAATGTTTATGTTGAAAGTTACATTGATTTTGCGTGTCTGCTATACAAAAGTAGACATATATTAAACTATTTTTCTATAAATTCAAATTTCATTATAATAGCGTACATAATTATCAGAAAATATTTTGTTATGACTAAGATTTATTCTAGATATAGCTTATAAACTTTCTTTATCTTATAGCAAAATGAACTATCAAGACAAGATTTTTTTTACAGTCATAGGTCATTTTTCTAAGAACACAGAAAAAGATATTCATGAAAAAAAGCATGAAATTAAAATAAAACAATGAATGCAATGATATAAGCATTCTGCACATATTCAGATCTCTTAAGATATATATTTTCAGTCTAAAAACTAAATTGCTAGATCCTACAATATATATTAAGCCTGTCTACAAGGCAAAACATGATGCTCAATGTCTAATACCATCTATATTATTGATAATTCAATAGAAAATTCACATAAACATTAAACATTCTTCAACTGTTTTGTGGTAGCAAATACTTTATTGATAAAAACACTTGGCTTTAGAGTATTCCCTTCCCTTTGTAGTAAAGATTTGGAACAGTTAGTTAAATTCTTTAATACCACAGACCGAGAAGTTGAACAGATTCTTCTAGCTCTAATTTGATAACTTTGATCCTAACTACTGATTTTTTAAAAGGAATATATATATATATATATATATATATATATATATATATATATTAACTGACAGTAAAAAATAATGTAACAAGGAACTGAGTTTAAACCAGATAATGTTGTAAAACATTTGAAGTCACAGCATTCCTGAAAATAAAGTTGCCATTTACCAGATATAATCAATCATCCACAGTATGTGCTGCATACTCATCAATATGTTTACAATGACCATAACAAAATTATCACAGTGTCAGATGATCTAAGACTCTGCCACCTAGAAATTATCTCAGCACCTCTCACAATTACCAACCAGTTCTATAAAGCTACCTTTGTACGTAAGTAAAAATGTGCAATGGTTTTACATCTTTTACAGCATGGCTTATTATGCCATGAACAACATAAGGGAGAGAAGAAGAGAAGATCCCTCTACCACAGGTAAGTAAGTGCTTACAGACTTCCAGTAATGGCCAATAAGAGTAAAAGTCATATTGAATAGAATAAAATACGATTATCTCCAACTCTCTGGTAAGTCTTTTGACTGTCTCAATGGCATCTCAGAATGGCAAAGAACGAATTCCTTTCTCTAAATTGTATTTCTATGATAATGAAAAAAAACTGTATATAAATATACCAAAAAATTCTTAAGTACTAATACATATTTTAAGGGATATATTGCCAATACATGACTACCAGTTATTAATTAGCCAGATATTATTAAATATCAAGAAATGTGCAACAAATTATAGACAACATAATAATCAATTAGGCATGTGGAAAGTAAAGACCATAACAGTATAGTTTCTCCTGAACAGGTTTATATGCAAACATTTCTTCTTGTACTTGTTTAAAGAATTTTAGAATTAGTTGTTTCTGTTTGAGACAGGATATCCTATAGTCCTGGCTGACCACTATGACTAAGAAGAACTTGAACACCTGATCCTTTGCCTCTGCTTCTGCCTCTACCTCTTAAGCACTGAAGAACTTGGAAATCTTGGAAATAAAGATAAACATTTCTGTTAAAGACCTATTTATTTATTTTTTAAATAATTTATTTATTTTTACTCAAATCACAATTCATTCACACTGGGGTTATAAACATAGAAAGGCAGGATGTGGGGAAGGGGATGACACTGGAGAGTGTGTGTTCAGAGGGAATAAAGACCTATTTAAAGTAACACATTTTTAAAGAGTGTTTTAGTTTGACTTTCTTTGTTAACTCCATTTCTATAAACATTTTTGTTATTGATTTACATGTGTGTGTTGTGTTTTGTGTGTATGTGTATGTATGTGTGTGTGCATGTTAATGTATATGAACTTAATTGTGTGCAGGGGCATGCAGAAGCTAGAAGGCAAATTTTTCTCTGGAGCTGAAGTTATAGGCTGTGAGGAAGCTTAACTGCAGTTCTCTATGCAAGCAGCCAATACTCTGAACCACAAAACTGTCTCTACAGCCCCTGATATTAGCTTCTTAATATTCTCATGGTATATCTCTAATTGTGAGCTGAATAAATTCTATGGAATCTGAAGTTCTGGAAATGAAAATAAAAATGTGGAGAATTTGATTACTCTAGGGAAGTCTTCACTGTTCCACATGCATTGATTACCATCATAATTTGACCTAAGTTGCTATTTCTGGGATAGCCAATGGATATTTAGCTAGATGAAATTATTACCAAAATGATCTAAAAAAACAAAATCTGGTAACCCTTCAGAGTTTATTTCAACAAAATATGTTAATTAACTTCTTTGATTTTTTTTCTGTATTTTTATGATTCCTATTCAAATATTAGAATAATCTTTAGGCTTCTCTTGAACCATGTGTAGTCCTGGACTCAAAATTATCTCCTTTATGTAGAAGAATGTGTTTGTGTGTGTGTGTGTGTGTGTGTGTGTGTATAGAAAGAGAGCCAAATGTAAAAATTTAAAAAGAAAATAAATACTTAAGAACATGTAAATTTTTGTTAAGAATTGTATTACAGATGATTTTCATTACATTAAATATAGTCAATGTGTGGTTTTCTTGTTTTAAACATAACTGCATAATTCCTGAGTATCAAGAAAATATGCTTTGCCAGTATCACATATTCAACACATTACAGACTGTGGAAGAGACCATAGAGAGCTGAAATTGTAAACAATCTGAGGGTGAAATAAGGCATAGACTCAGATTCATATATTTCAGCACTAACACTTGGTAGAGTTACAGTCTCATGGATTACAAACACCATTAATTCTGTATAAAATCACTAGCATTGTGGAAAGAATTTGAATAAGATCCAAGTTTGTTAATGGGAACAACACTACACAAACACACACACAAACACACACAAATTTTGCCTGTTGATTTAAAATAGCACATTGTTTTCAGCTAATAATCTGTTATTAATACCTTTAAAAAACACATAGCCAAGCTATTTTCATGAATCAATAAAGAGTTGTGTGGTGAAAAAAATGATATCGAAGAGCTATTGAACAATCACTTAATTTCTTTGAAAAACAAAATCCATTTGGAATGCCACCAAAGCCAAATAAGTCGTTACATTATGGAAATAAAACACAACGAAGGGAAAGAAGTATAATAAAATATAGAAAACTGAAAACTTAAAATGCTGGAAACAAAAAATATAAAAATGACTTTAAATCCAAGCATAATGGTATTGCATGCACCTGTAATCTCAGCCCTCAGTAGGCAGGGGCAGGCAGATTTCTGTACGTTTGAGGCCAGCCTGGCCTACATAACCAGATCCAAGCTAGACCCTTATAGGGAGATACTCTCTCAAAAATAAGTAGTAAACATGGATTGGGATTTTAAGAGGCTTTTGTATCTTTTCCAGATCATCATTATAGGTAACAATATGCAATTAAACAAAATGGAAGCACAATTAGCTTCACTGAACACTTGTTTCTGGATTATTTTTATTTAAAAGCAAAAGTTGAGATTTTCCTCAGACATTGTCTACTATAAAAGTTATGGGTGTTACACTTACTGGAATGTGCTTTAGAAATACCCAACCTGTGGGATTTTTATAGCCTGAAAACTCACAGCTTGCCATAACCATTTGCTGTGTCTTTTCTGCATTCTAGTATTGATATTCTACTTTCTTTCCCTTAACCTACACAGATTTATATTTCTATATCCTATATTTCTGTTAATCTAAGGAAAACATTTAAAGAAATAACTCAATCATCATCCCTAGTAATTCCAGCACTTGACAAATGTGTTTTAATAAGTAGAAAATTTTACAAATATTTCCATTTAATTTACATGAAGCTGACATTATAATTTTAATAATGTAGTAAATTAGAATATCCATGTCATATCATTTGATGTTTATGGCAGGAAAGTCAGGTGTGATAAAATAATGCAAATACATAAATTTCAGACAGCACAAAATATCCCACTTGAAATTACTTCATGCACTCTAAATCACTTTAAATTAATGACTGAAATATTCTTCAGTCTAGTGATTACTCCATATACCTTCTGTAAAACAATCAGAAAGCACAATTTACTAATTAACTATGTAGACATCAAGATACAACCCTGTGGCACAGGGTACAAGAGTACTTCCATGTGAGATTGTAATTTCTTTGCATATTTATAATTTCTCTATTCCCTTCAGGAGCATTATTACAGTGAGAATGGTTGTAATAGAACGTTCAAAAATACAAGGATGAACAAATAAGTACCGGAAATTTGGACTCAAGCTTACGTTTTCTTTAAAATTACTATGTACATGCAT